TATAAACACAAGCAAGCTTTCATTTAGCATATGTCTTCATATGTAATTTACAGATGCTCTAACAGTGAGTTGTTCCATGTGCATGTCACGTGGTTTCAAAGAATGTCACATCACACTATTATTATTTTGAAGTTTAATTATATCAGCTTGGTTACACACTTAATCACACTTGCTTAAATAATCTTGCTTTGTTCAATAATGCAGTAATGTTATAATAAACCTTAGTATGCAAAATGAAGTTGTATTGGGTTAAATGAGTATCAGCGTGACCTAGTGGATATATTACGTGCTGTAAATGTGTTGAATGGGTGAACCTGAGTGAAAAATAAAGAACACATTATTGTTTCCCAGCTCCTGAGTCTTTTATTTTTAAGATAAAATAGTATAAAAATGAGACATTTTTCTCAATTTTCTAAGTAGATTATTTCCATTCCTGATCAAACACACTTGTCAAGTGGCACAAACCTGTAGGAGTGAGATTGCAGCTTTAGTAAGCGAGTGTGAGTCAGTGTTGTTTAAAAACATAAAATATAAATTGTATCATTTATTACTATGCATACAGTATGTTGTAAAACTGCTGTAAATGTAAATGCAGGTGCAGCAAAAACATTTAGATTTGTCATTGCTCTAAACTTGGTTGGATTTGACTGCCATTCAATAAACTGTTTGTTAAAACCTGTACATGTGACCATCCTGTTCTGATCTTTATCTTGGACTCATGAGCAAAACAAGCACTGGGAGTATTGTTCCTCAAATGGCAACAAATTAAAACTATAGTCAAAAGTTTGCCCTATATCATATAAAAAAAAGAACTGAATACAACAGTAAAGTGATAAATGTTTTTAAATATAATGTATCATGAGTGTAGCAACAGATATTATGATGCTGCATTATTCCTCCAAAGGGAAAGTACATATCAGTAAAAGAAATAAGAAATGCAAGATCACGTTTAGTTAACTAACAGAAAGCAGCTGCGACTTGAATACATGTAATTTCTGTCACATTCTGT